TCAAAGAAAAACAAAGGAAGTTCAGTTGCCTCTTGAAAAAAACACCTTTGGGATCTGTGATAAAAGGTTCACAATAAAGATGGAGCAAGACAAGGATCAACCTGATTAGGCCTCAAGATTTTCTAAGCAAGGATCAAAAAAGAGAGGATGCGAACACCACTCTCCTGTATATCTCAGTGTAGTTGTTCCAGAAGAGTTCCAATGTAGATTTTTGTTTTTTAGATATTTTTTTCCAGGAGCCTTTGTTGAAGACACTGAGGATCTCTTTGAACCCACCAAGCTGGGGCTTGTCAGGCTAACCTGGTCTCCCCACCCACAGATTGACAGAAGCCAAATAACTCATCACCGAAGATGGGCAGTATTCAAGGAATGAGTGACAAATGCCTTTTGACGGCAAGGTGTAGAGAAGGCCGTGTCTGGGCAGCTGCAAATATTCTTGGAGAATGCCAGTTTTCTTGATCTTTTGCGCTCCAGATTCAGGGGTCAGGTTTGCATAAAATCAGGGATCCCTGTTGTACTTGATCCTTTCTAGGAGAATAGATCCCTGCTGACTTGGCTAATAGTACCTGGTGTAAGGGTGTTCCTGGATCCTGGGTCGTTGTCAGTCCAAGTAATCAGGTTGATATAACTTCCATGATACAATAACAACAACAACAACAACAACAGTAGTAGTAGTAATAGTAGTAGTAGTAGTAGTAGTAGTAGTAGTTGGAAGGGATGTTGGAGGTTTTCAATTCCAACCCCCTGCTCAGGCAGAAAACCCTATACCATTTCAGACAAACTGTCTTCTTAAAAACTTCCAGTGTTGGAGCATTTGCAACTTCTGGAGGCTGGTTGTTCCACTGATTAATTGTTCTAACTGTCAGGAAGTTTCTCCTTAGTTCCAGGTTGCTTCTCTCCTTGATTAGTTTCCATCCATTGCTTCTTTAGGTGCTTTGGAGAATAGCTTGACTCCCTCTTCTTTGGGGCAACCCCTGTGATATTGGAATACTGCTATCATGTCCCCCCTCGTCCTACTCTTCATTAAACTAGACATTCCCAATTCCAGTAACCGTTCTTCATATGTTTTAGCCTCCAGTCCCCTGATCATCTTTGTTGCTCTTCTCCGCACTCTTTCCAGAGACTCAACATCTTTTTTACATCGTGGTGATCAAAATGGGATGCAGTATTCCAAGTGTGGCCTTACCAAGGTGTTATAAAGTGGTATTAACAATTCACATGATCTTGATTCTATCCCTCTGTTAATGCAGCCTAGCACTGTGTTGGCTTTTTTGGCAGCTGCAGCACACGGCTGGCTCCTATTTAAGTGATGTCCCTGGAAAGTGCTTGTCTGGGTATCACAGTTCAGAGATTGGCATCAATGGCTATGATGATCTTCTCCTTTATGCTGAGTCTGGAACTTGACTAGACAGATAAGATTAATTAACTAATTAATCTAATTGGTTAGGAAGTATTGTCCCTCCCACAATTTAATAGGGAGAGAGGAATTCGTCTTGAATCACTAAGACTTAGGCCAAAGGGCAACCTCCCAGGCTCTCCAGCAGAGAACATCTAGCTGATGATGTTTTAAGTGTTTCCCCATTTTACGACCTTTCTTGCCACAGTCGTTAAGCAAATCACTGCAGTTGTAAGTTAGTTAGTTAGTAAGTTAGTAACACGGTTGTTAAGTGAATCTGGCTTCCCCATTGACTTTGCTTATCAGAAATTTGTTAAAGGGGATCACATGACCCCGGGACACTGCAACCGTCGTAAATATGAATCAGTTGTCAAACATTCAAATGTTGATCATGTGACCATGGGGATGTTGCAATGGTTGTAGGTGTGATGACTCCCCTGGATACTTCCCCAGATACCTCTCCAGATGTCAGCTTGGAGGAGGATGAACCATGTCTGGAGAGGAGTTGGTCAATGGCTCTGAGCAGCCAACTGAGAGGGATTTGGCTGAAGCGCAGCTGAAGCAAGACAGCCCCGAGGCTTCAGGTGGAGAAAGCAGGCAGCTGCAGCCAGTCAGTGAGGAGGAAGAGGAACTGCCTGCTGCACCTGACCCAAGAACATGTAGGGCAGAGAAAAGGCAGGAGCAGAGAAGGTCAGCCAGGTTACTCATAAGGAGGCAGCCTCACCCGTCTTGATGGGCTGCACCAGAAGCTGGCTATTTAGCACAGCAGTCAGATGGAGGCAATGTTGGGAACAACGTGTTCATTTCATAGCTGTGTGTTTCCTGGTTGTGATTCCTGTCTTGCTTTGGATTGACACATTGACTTGGATTGTGCCTTGTTAAGTCTGGACATTTCTTCCCCTGTGAACCCTCTTGTATTGTGGATTTAATGTTGCCTGGTGGGTTTATGTCAGTTGGGAATCTTTCAAGTGCCTTGTGGACTCATTGGCCGTTGCTCTGTGGACTAGCATCGGTCTGCTTTCAGTTGGACTTAATTGGGACAGTTTTCAGTTTTGGGTGAAGGGAATTACTTCGGAATATTAATAAAACCCACTAAAACACCCTTACGTGTGCGTGCGAGTGAGCGGGACAGCACAGTATCTGTGAAAAACAGTCATAACCAGTTCTTTCAGCGGCGTTATAAATTCAAACGTTCACTCAACAAACGCCTGTAAATTGAGGATACCTGTAGCTAGCGTAGCAGCTTCACAGTGTCCTTTTTCCATCCCTGGAAATCAGACACACCAAACCATGATTGCACTTCAGGTGATGCTCTTTTTTTCTCTTCTTCAATTTAAAAGGTGAAGTCAAGACCAGGAAGCTTCCATCATCCTTACAAAGTGGTGCTGTGGAAAGCAAGTCAAAGTTCTGGAAGTTTGTAGAAAGAGGTGAGGAGCCATCCTGTTTGGGATGGGATGGGGTTGGGGTGGGGCAGAAAAACAGAAGCAGAAGCTGGAGGGAGAGGTAGCAATACGAGCTCAGGAAACTGAAGGCTTAATGAGAAGAGAAGAGGCCAACAGGAAAAGGGATGAGAACTGATTTTGGAAACTAATTGAAGATGGCCTTTGAGGTTATTTAGAAGGGAGTTGGATGGTATGAAAATTCAATTTCCAGTGATTTATTTCAGACTTAGTATGTATATTTGGCGAGGAATAAACTTGGAACCAAGTCCTGGTAAAAGGTAAAGTTTTCCCCTGTCTGGTTGTGTCCGACTCTGCTGGGTGGTGGTGTTCCTCTCTGTTTCCTAGCCAAGGGAGACAGCGTCATCTGAAGACACTTCCGTTGTCGTGTGGCCAGCATTGTTGTACACCAAAGTGCACAGAATGCTGTTACCTTCCCACCAAAGTGGTACCTATTTATCTATTTGCATTTGCATGTTTTTGAACTGCTAGCTGGGTAGGAGCGGGAGCAAGGAACGGGAGCTCATGCTGTCACGCGACGCTCGGATCTTGAACTGCTGACCTACCGGTCAACAAGCTATTCATTCTCTTTGCGTTTATTTCCTCCCGGACAAACCGAAGAGATGTGTGTTTGTGTGCATGTTTTTCTCTCTGAACACCCACTGTGCTGCATCCATCTGGGGACAAAAACGAAACATGAGGAGAGCAAAATCTCTCTCCTTTTCAAAACTGGCCGATGTAGTAATCATGTGTTTAGAAGGGAATATTTACAATAAAAACACCAACAACATAGTTAATGGGCCAAGAGTTTTGCAAACAAACAAACAACCAATTGGAGCAGAATACAGAACGCATTAAATTTTCCATGAATCCGCGATCTTCGAAAAGTTCTGGTTCTCATCAGGAGAACTATTTCATCTGTGGAAAATGCTGCGGTCACGAGGGCCTTTTTGTCTTAGGCATGTTAATCTGTGTGAAATGCTAATTATCTCACTTAAAAGGAAGTGTCAGAACCAACCACTGCTACTAAACTGGCCTCTTGCGTTCACCACACTTGTAGAGGGCCAAAAGGATTGCAGGAGGGGAACACAACCCAGGAATTGGGTGATGTGGCAGGAATGTTGCAGCGTTGGACTGCCGATGGGGGAGTGCAGGGCTGAACTCTTTCCCGTGGGAAAAAAAGGAGAAAATTCTGCATTTTCTGGAGAAAACACGCAGTCTTCATGCTAGGAGTCCTTCATGGGAAGGAACATTCATTTTCCTTGCCTGTGGTTGAACTAATATAGTTGAGGATTGACAGCATGAACTAATCGAAAACTACGCTCAAAATTTAGCACTCTGTAGATCTGTCATTGGACTTGATAACCGTTTACGGGGACTTCTGAAATAGTCTAACAACAAAGCTGTTCATCAGAGGGCAACAACTAGAATTATTTTGGTTACACAACGAATTCCGGTCATCAGGCAGTTCTATTTTTAGCCACTTTGTGAAAACTGGGTTGCTATTTACAAACAAGTTACTCTAATCTGATTACTATTGCCACTTGAAGCCTAGTGACATACTGTTTAAATACTCCTGGCAGTTTTCCCCCCCTCTCACAAGTTTTTATTCTTCTAGAACAATAAAATATTTTATGACAAAGGAAGTATATTTTTTTAAAATGTCACTTCTTTGTAAAAATAAAAAAAAAATATCTAGTCTAGACAAAATATAGAGTGGTGTGTTTTTTTTTTTTTTAACCGTAAGAGGCAATCTGCACAGTGATAGAATTTGACTTCTTCTCTTATTGTTATGTTGGGATGGCATTATGCAAAGCTAGATTTTTTTTCCTTCCAAATCTAGCTAACGTTTTATTGCGTCATGTGTATTTTGAGTGGGTGGGAGGGACCCATTCGTTCAGACCAAGAATCGGGCACGTCTGCAAGAATGAGATGTTGGCAATAAATGTCATGGTTCTGATAGATGAAGCTCTTCAAAAGAACTTTGAGGCATTGTTTACCTTAAGAATCTTTATTTTGAATAGCATAGCATCGGCACTGCATAATCGAAGCCAAAAACTGAATTCCCTTGCTCAACTGTGATATAAATTACTCATGACTATATTAATACCTTGCTGTGTGCCTTATGGTTCATGCGATTCAGTTGCCTCTCCATTCTTTTTCAGGCCTTATATGTGAACAAGGTGATGTCCATCATCTTTTCTGTGACCTTTCTGGCGTTTCTGTGTGGCATCCAATCGACCAGCATGGATCAAGGGAGTTTATCAGAAGATTCCATGAATTCTTTCCTTAGGACACTGATTCAAGCTGGTATTTGGAAAAACAAGGTCCCCAAGCAGACAGCCAGAACCAAGGATGGCATGCCAACCACAGGGAGGGAAACCGAGGCTGAAGCAGAGGTGACTACAAGCCAAGATATTCGATTTTCGGGTTTCCAGCCTATCGTTTCATTGGATGTGGAATTAGTGAGGCAGCAGAGACGCTTCAGTTCTCCCCGGGTCCTCCTGAGTGAAAATACCCCCCTGGAGCCCCCTCCTTTGTATCTGATGGAGGAGCCCATGGTGCTGAACCGAACGTCTCGCCGGAAGAGGCATGCGGAAGGAAAAACCCACCGTGGGGAATACTCTGTGTGTGACAGCGAGAGCCGATGGGTCACGGACAAAACGTCTGCGGTTGACATCCGAGGACACCAGGTGACTGTCTTGGGAGAAATCCGAATGGGCCCGTCTCCGGTCAAACAATATTTTTACGAAACCAGGTGCAAGCAAGCCAAACCTGCCCGGAGTGGTTGTCGCGGCATTGACGATAAGCACTGGAATTCCCAGTGCAAAACCTCGCAAACGTTTGTCCGCGCATTGACTTCGGAAAACAATAAACTCGTCGCCTGGCGATGGATCAGAATAGACACCTCGTGTGTCTGCGCCTTGTCCAGGAAAATTGGACGAACTTAGGTGCGTTTCTCTCGGCCATATAAATTATTATGACTAAATTATACGATATGCATGTAGCATATAAAGGTTTCTATTGTTTATATATTATAAGTGGTCCTTATTTATTAAAGTCCAGCCAACTACTCTCTCTCTCTCGTGATAAAGAACAGTAAAGAATGGATGTATAATTGTGGCAAACATCATTTCTCCTTTCTGTTTGTGATTGCAGGTCCTCCGCAACTTTCCATAAACTGCTTAAAAAAAAAAAAAAAAAACCCCACCTTTAGGGAATATCGGTATTCTTTTTCCCCCTTGGGATTTTCAGCGTAGCAAGCAATAGCAAAAAAGGTTAAAAGGTGATCATGATGACGATAATATCCATTCAGTCACGTCTGCCGATTTTGTGGCGATCCAACCTTGCATTCGGTGGGATTCAAATATCTGAACAATCGGTTCTCTGTGTGGATGCAGGCCTGGGCCTCTGAGGTCTAGAACGGACTTCTGGAAGTGGCATCCACGCACTTCCGGCAGGCTGTTCTAGGCCTGGGAAGCCTCCTCCAGGCCTCCCAGGCCTAGAACGGACTTCCAGAAGTAACATCCACGCACTTCTGGCAGGCCATTCTAGGCTTGGGAGGCCTCCTCCAGACCTCCCAGGCCTAGAACGGACTTCCGGAAGTGGCATCCATGCACTTCCGGCAGGCCGTTCAAGGCCTGGGACGCCTCCTGCAGGCCACCCAGGCCTAGAACGGACTTCTGGAAGCAATGTGCATTCAGCCGGTTCTCTGAACTTAACAAAATTTAGCTACCAGTTCCGCCGAACTGATGCGAACTGGCTGAATCCCACCAATGCTTGCACTACAGGTAGTCCTGGACTTACAACAGTTCACTTAGTGGCCGTTCAAAGTTACAACAGCCGTGGAAAAAGTGACATGACCATTTTTCACAGCTACGACCGTTGCAGTGTCCCCCATGTGATCAAATTTCAGACGCTTGCCAACTGACTCATATTTATGATAGTTGCAGGGTCCAGGGATGATGTGTGAACCTGTTTTGTGACCTTCTGACAAAGTCAATGGGGGAGCCAGATTCCACTTAACGACCATGTTGCTAACTTAACAACTGCAATGATTCGCTTAAGAACCGTGACCAGAAAAGTCATAAAATAGGGCAAAACTCAAATGTTTCACTTAACAACCTGAATTTGGTCATGTTCCATTGTGGTCATAAGTTGAGGACTCCCTGTTACTTGTTTTAAAAGGCATTGGCTCAAAGAAATTGCTGGGATCTCAGGGGATCCTCTTGACTTTCAGCTTCTTCAAACAAAGCCGAAAAAGCACCTGAATAATCCATGAATTGTGAAATCAGTAAAAAATAATAATAATAATTCTCTCCCGTATGTTGTGTTTTATCATGATTCTCACCCTCCCGGTCTCCCATTATTACTCTGGAATTAGAGCAAATGTTTTATTTTATTTTATTGCAAACACATCTGCGACTGCCTGTTCGTGTTGCCAGCTTCTTTTTTTTTGAAGCTAAGGAAAATATGAAACAATTTGTAATGAAAACTTTAGAGCGCCAAAAAACACTCAAAAAGGATTATTCATATAAATACTGAAAAGCTAGATTTCCTCAAAAGAAGGTCTTTTTTTTTTTTTAATTTGGGTTTTTGAGCCCTTTTTTCCGCATTGGCTTTCCTAAACTTTCCGTTGATTTGGCTGCTCTGTTAATTGCTTTACAATTCAAATGCAGGGACATGCTGGTTCCTGGAACATACATCAAACCAAATCCAATTTAAAAAGTTTACAAACATTTTTTTGGGGAAAAAAAGCCTTAATGAGAGAAGATATTAAAAACACCGAGCCCCTTTCCCACGCTTTGTGCTGATGGTAGAACGAAATGATCAGACAAGTTACTCCATCTAGACCAAGGGTCTTCAAACTCAGCCAGGCACACTGGCTGAGGAATTCTGGGAGTTGAAGTCCACCAGTCATAAAAGGGCCAAGTTTGAAGACCCCTGGTCTGGATCCAAGCCCACAGTTTCATCAAAATGGCCGACTGAGGAATTCTGGGAGTTGAAGTCCACCAGTCATAAAAGGGCCAAGTTTGAAGGCCCCTGATCTAGACCCTTAATCCATTTGTAACTGTCCAAAGGAAGTTCTATTACATTTGGTTGACAAAATGAATTCCACCAGGTCTTTCTGGAAGGGATATTTGGATGATTAATTCCCTAAAAATCAGATGAAGGTGATGTGAAAATACGATCATTGGGGAAAGAACACCTACATTTTTCTTTGTTTGATTCACATTCATATAACTCTTCATCTTATGTATTTATTTAATGCTAACCCACCTTAGCCATGAAAACCAGCTGGGTGATTTTGGGCCTTTCCCTCTGCCCAGCCCACCTCACAAGGATGTTGTTATGGGGAAAATAGGTGGAGGGAGGCGTGTTGAACATGTTTGCCCGCCTGAGTTACTTGTAAAAATAATAAAGGCGGGATGCAAATAAATTATAATCAAAATTTGGACACAATACTCGCAAGCGTGCCCTTCTAGTCCAAATGGCTAAAAGGGGACTCCTTTTGTGCACTTTTTTTTGACTAAATTAAACCAATTCTGAAGCTAAACATACTAGAATGGAAAAGAGAGTGTCTAAAAAACACCACAACCAGCTATGGCTAAAACACACACACAGACACACACACACAAAAAGAAAGCGGAATTTTGGAGACAAATGGAAACCAAGAACGCTGGCCCTGGAGCTAACTAACCACACTCTATCACTTTTGTCTCAGATTCATATTGCATAAATAAAATGTCTGTGAAGGCTGTGGTCCTTAACACACCCACAACTTCCTGTCATCTTGGAGGCTGAGTGAACGCAGAAAGTTTTAAGCGTGTGAGGGAAAGACGTAGATTTATTTGCCAGTGGAAATTGTCTGCATTTGGGGGCAGCAAATCAGCCGTTTCTCAGGAAGCCTATTGAAAATTGCACATTGGAACCTCAGGGGAATAAAGAAGAAAGAAATATAATGATCACACGTGGCCCTTGACCTGGAACTATTCCTTTAGGGAACGAGGGCATTGGGAAAAAAAAATGACTTAGGATCGTTTTTCACACTTAAGACATTTGCAACATCCTTGTAATCACATGAGTCATTTATGTAAGTCAGTCAATACAGGTGGAAGGGACCTTGGAGGTCTTCTAGTCCAGCCCCCTGCTCAAGCAGGAGACCCTATACCATTCCAGACAAGTGGCTGTCCAGTCTCTTCTTCAAAGCCTCCATTGATGGAGCAGAGCCCGCGATTTCTGAAGGCAAGTAAATCAAGCTGATTGGTTTATGTGATGCGGTCTTCCTTGTGAACCTATTCCAGAACTCAAATAAAATGTCAGACAAACTAGCATCCAGAACAGCCCCATGTTCTCATAAAACATATCCAAAAGGCGATTCCATTTGTTTACTATGTAAAGGCAACTGAGCTGGCTTCATCCTTCTGCCATCTGTCATCCCTTGTAACCTAATCCAGGCTAAGTATTTTATAGAACAAATTCCCTCTGCTGCCTTTTAGCCCTTGCGTTTCACTTCTAATGCACCAGGGTGAATTCTGCTCCCATTTTGAGAGGTGAATTATACCCCTGGAATGATAAACGTAGACCTCATGGGATCCTGTTGGATCCTTGATTGGCTTGGAAGGTTTTTTGCGGGGTCCTGTAATATATATAGTGATCGGTCCATCTATCCAGGAGCCATGCGCAAAATCGGCCTGCGTTATAAAAAGGGAACTCCCATTGACTTGTTTTTATGCTCTGATGATGTCGGCAATGCTGGCCAACGAAAGCTCAGCATTTTATTAAACAAATCCTAGTTTGATATCATCCTGGTGTTTGTATTTATTTGTTTTTACTACATGGCATCACCCAGGATTCAAATTTTTAACGTAAAAAAGGGAGGGAGGGATGCATCTAACCCAGGAACCTATGATAAGGAGATAGGCAGTGTGAGAGGACAAAGCAACTGGAGAGATACGGAGGCAACGGGCAACCTAAAAAGGGGGGGGGAGGAATGTGCTTAATCCAGGAACCTGTGATGAGGAGATAGACAGCAATACACGTACAGAAAAGGGAGATAGAAGTGAAAGAGCTAGCAGCAGAACGGTAGTAGTAACCAATGCTAAGGATACACTTAAAACACAGCTTAATCAACAGGGACCGGTGATGAGATCCATGAGCCGAGTGCAGACATTGACCAATCCTCCCATTGACTGGCATTAAGCCCTGATGATGTTGGTAGTTTCCGACGAAAGCTTGGCATTATATTAAACTTTTCCAGTTTTAAATTTTTTCCTGGTGTTCAGGTTTGTTTGCTTTCTGTAGTATATATATATATACTACAGAAGGAGGAATCGGCATGTAGGGGCAGGCTGGGGCTCCATCCTTACTCCATCCTTACTTGTACCCATCTGAGACACCAAGTCCTTTTCCATGTTAGTCCAGTGTTGGATCCACATCAGCACCATCTGTTCCAAAATGGCTTGGGCTTGATCATCCCAGGAAATGGAAGCCACATGTTTACGTGGAAGCCCAATCAACTTTTCTGCCCTATCCAGATTCCAGAGTAGTGTTGAGATCCATTCAGGAATCAGGAGAAACAGCTCTTCTCATTACCCCATTGAGTCCTCTTAACTCAGAATCTTGGTGAAAGGAAGAGGGGGAGATCCATTCCTGTGGCTGATAGCCTTCTGCTGCCAGCTTTCACTGAATCTGAACTCTGAGACCCCACAAGCAATGCTTGCTTGGAGCTGATACGGAGTCAATGGATCTCCCGGTGTTTGCATTGAGTGGTTGTGCAACCACAAAGAAAAGGAGATCAACTTAGTCTCCAAAGCCCCTGAAGCATAAGAACAAGAAGCAATGTATGGAAACTAAACAAGGAGAGAACCAACCTAGAACTATGGAGAAATTTCCTGAAGGGGGGGAGAACAATTAATCAGTAGAAAAACTTGCTTTCAGAAGTTGTGGGTGTTCCAACACTGGAGGCTTTTAAGAAGAGATTGGACAGCCATTTGTCTGATATGGTATGGGTTTCCTGCCTGAGCAGAGGGTTGAACTAGAAGACCTCTAAAATTCCTTCCAACTGTGTTATTCTGTTGTTCTGTTCTGGTGACCTCTTTCTGCCAAGTCCCCATGATGTGGCTTCATCTCATCCTCAGATGAGAATAAGGCAGCCTTGAGTCATTCTTTGCTGGACCGATGTTAGAAAACATTTCCCCCTTA